GGCCACCGGAAAATTACCACCAAAAACATGTCCTTCGTGAGATGAGGGACATATACCTAAACCTAATATCGCAGCGTTTTCCGAAACGTATTTTGAGGACAATTTGTCTTCAATTGAAATACTTAGTAGCGGAGTTAAGACGAGCGTAGCATAAATACAATTATCTGTAAATACAAATATGACGTCGTCTTTTATCAAGCAGATATTTCTATAACAAAATAATTACATACGTATAAATTTTGAAAAAGAAACCTTTTTCTTATAAATATAAATGTTTGTTATATTTGATACATACAAACTTTCTGTATTTTTTATATGAATAATTTAAATAATTATAAATTTTAAACACGATAATTAACATCCTGTTACGAAAGTGGCAAGGTGGAGTAAGGAATACTTTTTATATGCATTAAATTAAATATAACGATGTAAAACGTAACGCGCAAAATGTGTTATGCAATATTGTCGCGAAGACCTTTGACTATACATATAGTCAAAGGCAAAGACACGATTAATTTCACAGCTAACAAGTGATAAATAAGTAATAAGATAATCGTCACCTTGGTTACCTCGCGCTGTTGCCCGATGTTTTTCTGACCTCTCTCTCTCTCTCTCTCTCTCCTCTCTCACTTCCCCATTCCGACTTCTTTACTCACGCGATACAGCACTCGCGAAGACACGGTAATTACGATCGATCGTGATCACATACTAATGAGTGGAGTATGAAAATTGCACGACACTTTATACGTTACTTTTAACGTTAACTATATTCGACACGTGTCTTTTTTACATCACGATAGAAGAATAACATGAGAAAAGTACAATTAAGTATCAGGATAGGCCGGAATGTTACAAACAAAACAATTAAGAACGGAAAACGCCAACACGATCAAAACGGATCTTGGTACTTTATAATTTATTTTTAAAGTGTGAATCTTACAATTATTCAATCGATTACAATTATTCAGTCGATTACAATTGATATTATGTTTAATGCTCGGTTCAGAGCTGTGTAGAAGTATGCGATTTGCGGCCGCGCAGTGTACTTGTAACCGAATAATTGTAAGATTCACACTTTAAATATAAATTATGAAGTACCAAGATCCGCTTTGATCGTGTTGGCGTTTTTCGTTCTTATAAAAGTACAATTGTTCTCATTTCGTACGAAACTGTGATCCGCTCGTCGCAAATACGATGTCTCACGAATAACGTCTATTTCTAATGTAGATTAATCTTGATCTCGAAATTTAACTTATTTTTTATCTTTTCCAGTTTTAAGAATTGGAAAAAAGTAAAAAATAAGTTAATTAGTAGAAATGAACACAAAAGCAATAGAGAATCCGGAAGATGGCGTAGAGAATTAAAAAAATCCTGCGGCCAATTTCATACGCCAACTGTCACCGCAAGCTATTGATTAACTAAAAGCTATACGCTTTTGAACAACAAATGTACGGTGACATTTTCAGAACAGATTCGTATATAATATTATATAATTTTATATAATATTATCTTGTATTACAAAATAAATGTGTATAAATGAAAATTATAATCGAGAAATATCTTTGAAATGTAATATGCGAGAATATAATGAATATATAATTATTGTTTCGTTGTGTTGGTACGATAAATTTCGATAAAATAAACCTACGCGTTTTTTTGACAAATAACACCAAATTTGTTATACGGCATGAAATATAAAAATATATATAAATTGGTACGAAGTTGATGACCATTATATTTACTGACCAAACATGTCGCGATTCGCTCAGCTTGGAGTCGAGTCCGTTCCATGCAAATGCGACGTTGCTTAGCGACAAGCTTGTAAATAACTATGGCAACTCTGATCCAAGCGTTACAACATAAATCAAACGTAAATTAATGACTAATTAAGACGCGACAGAACTAAAAAAAAACACTATCTGAATCCAGTGTCGCGTGTGAGGAAAAAATGTCCAAAGTGCATACGACGAATATATATTATTCGCTTTTTGTCACATCATGTTACAACTGAAATTACTCGACTGGCGTTAATTCTCATGTATTACTTCGCGCCAAGCTTCGCGCTTTCCATCCAAAATACTTCGATTTATATTCAAATTATATTCATGTTCATCGATGATAAATTTAAAGCAAGATTTAAGTTCAAGCGCGTCATCAGAGAACTAATTATTGCCCGTATCTCAATAAGGTATTAAAATAATTTATAATTTATATCCTTTATCCTTTATTATATATACATACTTCGACTCTTTAAAATGAAACCCCTAAAGTGAGGTAACTGATCGAATAAATAACTGTATCGATTCGAGATTTAATCACACCGTTAATTTAATACTCGTTATATGAAATGATTGCAGTTGACGTTCTTCGGTAAGTACTTGTTGCAAGCGCGTTTCGAGGAATAATAACGCGGCTTGCGCACCGCTGTCTGCCCATGAGTCTCTCGCTCGCCTTGTGTGGATGGCAAGCAAGGTCGGCGCGTGTATATACAACACAGTAATGCTGTGTACATTGCAAAAGACAAACATTGAACACCAGTCCTATAGTCGATTACCACAAAACATCAACACGTTGCACATAAAGAGAAAATTGAGGAAAGTTTAAAGCGCGATAATTGCAATTATTACAATTGACTTGTTCACTGGTAAATCTATAGTGTCATTATGTCATATTCAACCTTACTTAAGTCGCGACTGCTCCTACTTAATAAATAGTTATTTTTAATTAAAACACTAAAGTTAAATAATTTAAAACATTTAAATTCAAATAATTTAAAAAATTCAAATTTAATCCAAAAAGTAATGGCAAATTTCGCTCATTTTTTGGACCTCGAATTTCAAACTTTTTTTATGGTCAAATAGTACTATTAGATGAAACATTAATTCCAGTAAAATTTCAAGATGAACATAGGCACGATTCCGGAGATACAAGGGGATGAAAGTGA